ACAGATTGGGAAAGAGTATGGCTGCATCCCTGCATACTTATTTTTCAAGTTCAACTGGAGCTACTCTGCTCCAGACATGCTTATTATACAGGTTTAAAAGAGAAATAAAATTTGATGGGAAGAGGTGAGATCAGGCAGCTGCATTGCACAAAGCAGAGAGGACCTGATCTCAGGTTGACTGGAATGATACTTCAAAGAGATTATCAACATCCAGAATGATAGAATCAATAGAATCTCATACGACACTGTTATAGTGCTATTACTCCACTTTAACTGCTGTGGCTTCCTCCTGTGGGATTTGTAGTTTGGGGCATTTAAAATGCTCAGACTGAGAGTTCTTCCTCACTAAACTACCAACCCAGATTTCCGCAGGAGGCAGCCATAGCAGTTAAAGTGGAATAATAGTGCTATAAGTGTTTAGTGTGACATTGACTGGAAGAGACTGGAAGGTCCATATTGTCAACCCTCTGCCATGCAGGAATACCCAACTAAAACCAGAGTCCACAAAACAGCAATATCTTTATTGGTTAAGTGAAATGCATAAAATACATCATGCAAGCTTTTGAAGCTCCACTGCCTTCTTCATCAGGGAAAAGGTGTTGAAAAATCAAAGAAAAGTGATAGTATTAGACTCACAGGAAAGTCAGTGGGAAAGGGCTGACATTTCAAATTAAGATATACTGCATCTACACTGCAGAATTAATACAGTTTGACATTGTTTTAAGTGCCATGGCTGAATGTTATGGAATTCTGGGAACTGTACTTCTGTGAGATATATAGCCTTCCCTGGTGCCACAACAAACTACAGATCCCAGGATTCCACAGGATGGAGCCATGACAGTTAAAGCAGTGTCAAACTGCATTAATACTGCAGTGTGGCAGCATCCCTAATAAGCTTTTTAAAAAACCCAAACACCTAATTCAATTGCATTTATATTGAAAAGCAGTGTTTATATTAGTGTTTAGTGTTTAAATTCATGTTACCTTACTACAATAGAAAACCTTACTAGGTTGAACGGGGAAACATCCTCCCATGATTTTAACATTATTTTGAGTTTTGGAGAGAAAAAAATTAATGCTGCATGAATTTTTGAACTATTTGCTTCTCACCTGCCTCCCCCAAATTTTTCTCACTCTTTATCTTCCTTCCTTCCTTCCTTATAATTTCATCTCCCTACTCTCCTATTATTTTTTTTAGCTGACTGATTCCAAGGTGGGTCCCTGAAACTCAAACCATTATGAATATCCAGTTTTCTGGAATAAAGAGACCCTATTTAATGACAGATAAAGAAAAGAAAGAACTATCTAGAATAGATTCTATGTTCCTCCATTCCAAGCCGCCCTTACTACACGTGACCAAAACCCTGTAATTCCCTGGTATGAAATATTGCTAAGAGTACCGTAGTTTTATTAAAAGACAATCCAAGAAAGGTTTATTTTGGATAAAGAATCAGCAGGCTAATGGAAAATGTATTGCCTCTTTAGCACCATAGCTCATTAACTTAATTAATAACTTAATTCTGGAGAAATGCTAATGCTGAAATTCCAGCTTTAGTCAACCACTTTCATTTTAAAAATTAATCACGTTGCCCCTTGCTGCTGGAAAATTTCCAACTTAATTCAGAACTTCATTTTAATTTGTTAGTTCCTCCCTCTCCTCCTCCCTCCCGTACTTTTTATAATTCCATGTGAATCTACTAGATTTATTAACATCCAGAGAACAAATTGTCTGATAACTCTCATGTGGTAACTCTTACATTAATTAGTCTTGCTTTTAGAGACCCAAAATACTTGCTTTTAGAAACACAAATGCATGTGTGCATATGTGAATCTGTTTTATAACAAAGCCACTGGTAGCAGTAGCATCACTGGGGGGTGCAGGGGGTGCGGACCGCACTAGGCAACACCCCAGAGTGGGTGACACCCAGTCGGCCCCCCCTGCCCCATCTATCCCTGACATGCTCCCGTTCTGCTCAGGAGAATGGGCCGGCTGGGCATATGCACACTCCCCTAGCACTCCCTTGCCAAGGAGGAGAAGGGGATGGGACTAAGGAATTCCAGGAGACATGCATGTGCTCCTCTCGGCTCCTTGCTGCTGCCCTTTTCTCCTCTCAGGAGAAGAAGGCAGCAGCAAAGATGGGGGCCGCGGCAGGGCGAGCACGGGCGCATGCTCGGTCTGCCTGAGTCTGTGCCCGTGCCTCCTTCGGGAAGCCCCACTCCTTCCACCTCTCAGGCCTCACCCCCATACCAGGTGACACCAGTGGCATGGACGCTGCTGACTACTAGTAGTATTATTAAAAAGTAAAGGTAAACGTATTCCCTGTTGACAAGGTTGCCAAGTCATGTCTGAGCACAGGGGGCTGTGCTCATCTCCATTACCAAGCCGAAGAGCCAATATTGTCAGAGACTACTCTGTGATCATGTGGCCAGCATGATTGCTCAGAACGCTGTTTACCTTCCCATCATAGTAATACCTATTTATCTACTTGCATTTGCATGCTTTCGAACTGCTAGGTTGGCAGAAACTGGGAGTAGTGACAGGAGCTCACCCCATTATGCAGCACCCGGACCTCGAACTGCCAACCTGCTGATCTTGCAATCAACAGAGTCAGCATCTTAACCACTTGAGCCACTGCATCCCTAATACTAATAATACTAATAAGTAGTATTATTACACTCCATAGATTCATCAGTACAAACAAACAACAAACAAAAATTGTTTACGGTGAGCCCTTGATATATGCCATGGCTTGGTTCCAGCCCCCCCCCCCATGGATACCAAAATTCATGGATGCTCAAATCCCAGTAAATACAGTGACACAGTAAAATGGAGTCCCTTATATAAAATAACAAAATCAATTATTTTTCGGAATCGATATATCTTTGGAATATTTTCAAGTTGTGGATAGTTGAATCCATGGATAAAGAATCCGCGGATATGGAGGGCCAACTATAATATCAAATAGGATACAATTTAACATTCCATAAACACAATACTGTAAAATTGATGTACTTAATATAACATTTTTAGGTGCTCTAGCCAATTTTAGAACTTTCTTTCTCTCTAACCTTAAATATCAAAGACAGGAACTTGGCAACCGACAGAGTGACAAAGTCACTGTGTTTATTTGCAAATATTTTAGTTCTAAATGAATTGTAACAGACTGTACGCTTTGCCATTTGATATTTGTGACACTAATTTTTAAAGGTAAAGGGAGCTGCTTTCATAATCCTTTATAGAATATGTGCAAACAGCAAAGCTAAGAGAAAAGAGGAAAGCAAATAAACGTTCCTCATCAGCTCTTCACACTGTGTTAAAAAAGCAGAGATCTATATAATTTATGGACACCAAAATGGAAAGCATAGGAAAATGGAAACTGTTGAAAGAAAGAAAAAATATCATTGGATACGTTTTGGGTGAAGGTCTCTAGGAGGTTCAAAATGTTTTCATTTATTTATGCAAGACTTATCTGACCTGATTGTTTCATTTTATAAGTGCACATTGTTTGGTTTGAATGAAAAGTTTGCTCAAGCATGCTCTTCTTTTTTGTGTGGTGTAAGAAACCATTGGCCTTTACAGACTGCCAGAAATAATGCAATTTGAGGCCACTTTAACTGCCCTGGCTCAGTGCTAAGGAATCATAGGAACTGTAGTTTATTGTGGCACCAGAGCTCTCTGACAGAGAAGGCTCAATGTCTCAGAAAAAAAATACAATTCCCATTATTCCCTAGCACTGAGCCAGGATAGTTAAAGTGGCCTCAAGCTGAATTATTTCTGACAGTCTGTAAAGGCCCTATATCTATTTTTTCCACACTATTTCTTCATCTGGTACCAAATATGAACAAATAATATCCTGGAATGCATCTACTTCTTTAATTGCGGTATATCTGTAAATACATACTGAAGCTAACACCCATATATCTGATGAAGCGGACTTTTGCCCATGCAAGAATATACCAAGTAAATGACTGATGCCACAGGACTCTCTGCTATTTTTACTACAACAAACTAAACACAGCTATCACTCTGGAAGCATCAGTAAACTCAGACTGATCAACAAAAGAATGATCAGATATGACAGAGAGGAAGGGATCATCCATTGCATTTTCACAGTACTTTCAAACAGAAAAAAAAAATCTTCAGAGTCATTATCTTATTCTGAAACTTTCAACAGCCTTGTAAAGTGAATCTGTATTATTATCTCTACATTGCACATGGAAAGACTGAGGCTGAAAGAGAGAAGTACCTAGCAAGGGTGGCGTGCAAAGCTAGGATTTTGTAGTTCACTTATGAGATATGGTACCCAGAATACACTAGAAATCCCCAACAGCTCTTTCTACCCACAGCTCACACTCCACAATACACACATGCTTCATGTTTGAAAGCCACCTGCCTCCATACAAAGAAAGGAATCTAAGGCACTAAATAAGCCAACCAAAAAGCAAGCACAAGCTCTCACTCATATAATAAGTTGTCCAGATATTTGGGCATTTGTTCACTATCTCCAATGAATGTTCCTGGAAAAAAATGTATTTTTTTTTTGCTTTATATGATTACATTCTTAAGTACAGTGGGCTCTTGGTATCTACTGGGGTTTGGTTCCAGACCCCATGTGGATACCCAAATCCATGGATGCTCAAGTCCCATTAAGTACAATGGGATAGCAAAATGGTGTCCCTTGTATAAAATGGCAAAAATCAAGGTTTGCATTTTGGAAAATCATTTCTTTGAATATTTTCATGCTGTGGGTGGTTGAATCCATGGATGCAGGAATCATGGATACAGACGACAAAACTGTAATTTTTAATATAGATGAAATTAATGAAGATGGGTTGGATGAGGAACACAAGATACTGCCTTATACTGAGTCAGACCTCATGACTCATGTGGCACATGTAGCTCACTATTATCCCAGCTAATTTCAAACAGAAATCTGATTGCAGATGGCAGTTTAATATTATATAACTTCCAGACTGCAAATAGGAGTCCCTTTGAGTCCTGTCTGGAGATGGGAGGTACTGAACCTGAAATCATCTGCATGCAAAGCAGATGTTCTAACACTGAACTACAGACTTTTTGGAGAGATTTTTTTGGGGGGTAAACACAGTCTTCTAGTTCATCAGTAACCCATGGCCCACCAGACACTAGACTTCTGCTTCCATCAACCCCAGTCAACATAAACAATGATGATGAATGATGAGAACTGTAATTCTGATGACTTCCATCTCATTGGTGCAGTGGATGAGTTCCAGGGGTTCCTATAAATTGTGAAGGAGCTGTCCAAAGTCCTGAACCCTAACCCCAAAATAGCTTCACATCCTTGGATAGTAAGCCAGAATGGATTTACTGCCCCACTGACATGGCAGCCACTAGCTACTATGGGATGGGAGTAGCAATCCAGCAACATCCATAGACTCACAAATTACATTTCCCCAATCAACCAGTTAGAAATAAAATTTGTTTGTCAAAAATCAAATATGCAAGTTGAATGAAGACATTATACCATTCCAGAACATTAACCAGAAGAATTGGGGGACTTTGTCATGACCTGAAAAGGAACGTATTGGACTCACCTTTGGGAGGCATCAGTACTTTGTCATTCTGGGTGCACCAGCCTACAGGGTGGAGGTCCGCAGTCATCACATCACACCAAAAATCAGCTCGGCGGTCATCTTCATAGCCACAGTAACGCAGCAGCAAGAGTTGTCCGCATGTTGTAATAATAGTGGCCACCCAGTATGTATCTGAGTCATGTTTGTCGGCCACCTCTAGCTTCATGCCTGGTTGGAAGCTGCTCTGGAGGCTGATTTCAACCTTATGAAAATAGAGATGTATCATTATTTGTTTAAATGATGCCTCACCTTTCTCCCAGGGCTGGGATGAAAAGCCATTTCCAATAGAAAACCTTCCAGTTAAGACAGCTTCGACAAAAACACAGGGATTCAGATCCTACATCACAGGAGGGTAGTATAAATCAATGCTTCTTCAGTTATCTGTTGGGGGGGGGGGTCCAAAGCACACTGCATAAATAATCCAGTTTGAGACTGCTTTAACTGCCCTGGCTCAGTGCTAGGGAATGCTCAGGACTGTACTTTTGTCAGACATTTAGCCTTCTCTCTCAGAGCTCTGGTGCCACTAGAAACTACAATTCATAGGATTCACTAGCACTTAGCTAGGGCTGTTAAAGTGGTTTCAAATTGGATTCTTCCTCAAGTGTGTTTTGGACCATAGTTATTTTTCCCAATGGGCCAGAGACTGGTAGCATATTTGTACCCATTGCCTAAAGTCATTTCTTTCCTGAAAACTCTTCAGGGACCAGCAGCCAATGGCTCAGGGACCAGCACCAGTCTGTGGACCACCACTTTGTAGTCCTGGCATAAGTAACCCCAGGCAGAATTATTTTCCACTTCCATTACAGAATCCCCATAGTGGCTATCACTGTAGGGTAACATATGTGGGTCTCTGTTAGATGTGCATGGCTGATACCCCCTTGTGAAATGACAATGAGCAATCCAATGCAGATTCGTAGATGCTCTAAATTAGTGGGCTCCATAGAGCAGCCAGAGGACCCATTACAGCAGGGGTAGGCAACCTTTCCCCTTTAAGGGCCGAGGGACTTCAGCTCCCAGAAGCCTCAGCCACGTTGGCCAATAGTCCCATGTTGGCCAATAGCTCCTGGGATTCTGGGAGTTGAAGTCCCTTGGCCCTTAAAGGGGAAAGGTTGACTACCCCTGCATTACATCATAAGCTGAAGCTCATTACATGTTGCATTTATAGTTGTTCTGCATGTAGACCTCTGCTTCATTCCCCAGCAGCTGGATGCATCCATTGCACAATAATTAATAAAAACACTCTGCATGCATAACACAACTTATGCCTGTGTCTGTCATTAACAGGATGCTGGTCAATAAATAATACACATTAAAATATGAACAAAAACGCTTACACAGGTTGAGTCTCCCTTACCTGAGATGCTTGGGACTAGAAATGTTTTGGATTTTGGACTTTTCTGGATTTTGGAATATTTTCATATACATAATGAGATCTTGTGGCGATGGGGCCCAAGTCGATGCGAAATTCATTTATGTTCCGTATACACCTTATACACATAGACTGACGATAATGTTATACACAATATGTTTAAATAATTCTGTGCATGAAACAAAATGTGTGTATATTAAACTGTCAGAAAGCAACAGTGTCACTATCTCAGCTACCCCTGTGGACAATTTTGGATTTTGGAGTATTTTCTATTTCTGAACTCCAGATAAGGAAGACTCAACCTGTTCTCTTAAAACACTAATATAAACAATTAAAAAACATTATACTCATAATAAGTAAGTAGGAAAACATTTTAAAATCCAGCACATCCATTTAAAAATGTAGGACCATAAGAGGCAGGCAGTTGCTGAAGGTCCATCTGTTTTGCTCCCCTTGCCACAACCAACAAGAATAAAACTATATGAGTTCTTTAGAACAGCCTTACAACTTCTAGATGTACTGGACTATAATGTCCATCATTTCCAGCACAGAAGATCCTGAGCAAGATGCCTCGATTGGGATCCCTTTCTAAGCTCCAAAACATGCTGCAGAAATAATCCAGTTAACTGTCATGGCGCAATGCTAGGAAATACATGGAACTGTAGTTTTGTGAGACATTTAGCTGCCTCTGTCAGAGAGCTCTGGTGCCACAATAAACTACAATTCCCAGGATTCCCTAGCACTGAGCCAAGGCTGTTAAAGTGGTCTCAAAATGGATTATTTCTGCATTGTATTTTGGACCTAAGTGGGCACCACTCCTTCTGAGGTCTTGGTGGCAGATACCCAAGAGTAAGTCACCTTCAACACAACAGAAATTGCTTCTAAACAGACAGATATAGGATTACACATTGGCCATATGTGAATGCTGGCCTTCATATTTTCAGCTTGACCATGAGAACTAGAAACCCCAGTCAAAGTACATACGTGCTTAAATGAAGAGTGAGGGGCAGCACTAGCTCCTGCCTCTTCCAAGTATTCATCCCAGTTGAAATCAACTTCCTCAGAATTTAAACTTTCATCTGCTTAAAAAAAGAATAAGAAAAAGAAAAGAAACAGTACAGGTTGAAGTCTCCCCAGCAGCTAGAAAATAAAAAAAACAGCAATGCTCATTTAAAAACAGATTTGGATTGCTGTGCGAAGTTGCATTTCAGCAAACTCCCTTGCACATCTAATATATTTAGTGATGTGATTTCAGAAGCTTACTAACTCCAAAAGGGAGGCAACTCTATGCACACCCTGTCCTATAACAAATTCTGCAAGAATGAGGAGGTATTTCGGTTATCCTTAGAGAAGCTGAAGTCATGTGAGGATATTTATACCTCTGAAAAGATCAGCAAACTCCCTGAATATTATATGTGGGGAGAAAGACACCACTGCTTTCTTTCCTTATGAAGAGGGCCTACTGCAAGGGTGTATTTCTTTTCTTTTTTTAAATGCAGACATTCTAATTGCACAAATCATACCACACTTTTAAAAAAATAATTAAAATCCAAACCAACACTAATTTAATCCATTAATTTTTTTTAAAAAATGTAAGAAAGTTTTTTAAAAAGATTGGAAACAATTGATTGAATGCTTGCAGCAAGAATGGGGATCAGAATTTGTTATAGGATTACCGGTAGATTAGAGAATTCCCAAATAGATGGGTAAGAAATAAGATATAAAGGGAAAAGAGGAATGTATTATAGATGTAAATATATAAGTATGAGGGGAAATGTAAAGTACTAAATAATCGAAGTGAAACATAAGAGATGAGATAACAAGACATGAAAGACGAGGAAGTATTTTTTTGGGGGGGTTATGTGTATTATTTGTTTGTATTTGTCATTAGTTTGTACGTTCAGGTGGTGGTTGTGGTTTTTGTATGTACTTTTTAATAAATTAATAAAATATATATTTTTTAAAACATCCAAACCAACATATAGCTAAGTTTGCCCCATATATGAGCCATTCCTTTACAGCAATCAGTAGCTAATATCTACTACAGCTTAAGTCTCCCTTATCCAGAATTCCAAAATCCAAAATATTCCAAAACCCCAAATTGTCAATTCAATGTTTGTTATCCAATGAGGATGAAAATTCAAATTGACCTTAATAAATTAGAAAGCTGGGCCAAAGCTAGCAAAATGAATTTCAACACAGACAAATGTAAGGTACTACACTTAGGGCCAAAAAAAAAAAAAATTAAATTAAATTCATAGATATAAGATGGGGGACACTTGGCTTAAGGAGACTACGTGTGAAAGGGATTTAGGAGTCCTAGTAGACCACAAGTTGAACATGAGTCAACAGTGTGATGCTGCAGCTAAAAAGGCCAATGTGATTTAGGCTGCATTAATGGAAGTATAGTATCTAGATCAAGGGAAATAATAGTGCCACTTTATTCTG